AGAGAAAGATGGGAAGGTAGAGAAGGTACTGCACTCCTTGACCCTCCTCGTAGAAGAGAGTCTCCCGTTTGACATTGTTCTAGGTACGGATTGGGGAGAGGCAGCAGGAGCCACACTGCACCTTAGCGAGCACGAGTGTAGGCTCCCTAGCGCGTCAGGCGAAGTCAAGCAAGTCCACCTGTTCCACGAGTCAGAGGTAGATAATCCCCTTGCCCATTGCTGCCTCAGTGCTCCTGCATTCGCCAGACTTGTGCGAAAGGAGCAGCTCGAAGAGCAGGTGTTTGTGGCCTATGTTAGGCCGATTTTCGACCAGCCCAAGGAAGAGGAGAAGATCCATCCTATCGCCAGTCTGCTGGAAGAGTACAAGGATTTATCTGAAGCACCTTCAGGAGTAGTTCCCAAACCAATCTAGCACCGTATAGAGATAGAACCTGGCAGTAGAACGCCTAAGGGGGCAGTCTACAAGATGTCTCCCAAGGAGTTAGAGGAGATTCGCAGACAATTAGATGAGCTCCTAGAAAAAGGATGGATCAGGCCTAGTTCATCATCTTTCGGCGCACCTGTTCTGTTTGTCCCAAAGAACGAAGGACAGCTACGCATGTGTATAGACTACAGGGGACTGAACGCCATCACCATCAAGAATGCAGAGCCATTGCCGCGTATAGATGACTTATTAGATTGCGTGCAGGGATGCAAGTTTTTCTCAAAGATAGATCTGAAATCAGGATATCATCAGATAGAAGTGCACCCAGACGATCAGTATAAAACGGCGTTCAGGGCGAGGTATGGGCATTACGAGTTCATAGTGATGTCGTTTGGACTTACTAATGCACCGGCTACATTTCAGCGATGCATGAGCGACTTGTTTAGACCGTGGTTAGATAGGTTCGTCGTAGTTTATTTAGTCGATATCTTCATATTCAGCAAGACCCTCAAGGAACATGAGGGCCATCTGCGGCAGATTCTAAGCAAGCTGAGTCTAACTTCAAAATTAACCCGAAGAAGTGCGAATGGGCCAAGACAGAGGTCCTTTACCTAGTCCATGTACTAGACGGTGATGGTATTCGGCCTGAGGACAGCAAGATTGCATCTATTAGAGACTGGCCAACTCCTAAAACGCTGAAAGAGTTGCGCTCATTCTTAGGACTGGCTAACTACTATAGGAAGTTCGTAAGGAACTTCTCCACGATCGCTGCTCCCCTTCGTAGGTTACTAAAGAAAGAGACTGTCTGGAAGTGGGACCAGGATTGTACGTCAACCTTCAAGAAATTGAAGAAGGCCTTAATAGAATACCCTGTCCTCAAAGTTGCTGATCCATCATTACCCTTTGTTGTTACTACAAATGCTAGTCAATATGGCATAGGTGTCGTTTTGCAGCAAGATGACGGCAACGGTTATAGACCCGTAGAGTTCATGTCAGCCAGGCTGCCCGTAGAAAAGGTAGCAGCATCGACATACGAGAGGGAACTCTACGCTCTCAGGCAGGCTTTAGATCACTGGAAACACGACCTGCTTGGGAGGCACTTCAAGGTATATTCTGATCACGAGACTCTTAGATGGTTAAAGACACAGGCCAAGATGACGGCCAAGTTGACTATATGGGCTGCTGAGATAGATCAGTTTGACTTTGAGTTAAAGCCTGTGAAAGGAAAGTACGACGTGGTAGCCGATGCTCTGAGTAGGAGAGCTGATTACTTTGGCATGATAGTGCACTATCTAGACATAGGGGCCGACCTGCAGCAAAAGTTAAGGGAGGCATATGCTCAGGACCTGATCTACAGTGAATTGATGAAGAGAGTAAAGGAAGCCCCAGATAGCAAGCCGCACTACCGAACCACGAACGGGCTACTGTTTAAGAAGACCAATGTCGCTAACAGACTATGCGTCCCCAATAGCGAAGAGATCCGTAGCCTGATCTTAGGGGAATGCCACGATACAGAAGGGCACTTCGGATGGCAAAAGACTCTAGCTAACCTGATGATGTCATATACGTGGCCAGGCATGAAAGCAGATTGCATAGAGTATGTGCGCAGCTGCAAGGTCTGTCAGCGGAATAAAACGACAACCAGAGCCCCGCTAGGTCTTCTGAGAGCCTTGCCTATTTCGTCAGGACCCGGAGATTCAGTTTCCATTGACTTCATGGATACTGGGGTCAAGAGTAGGCACGACAAGACTCAAGTCATGGTCATAGTAGATAGGTTTAGCAAGTATGCAGTATTTGTTCCCCTGCCTTCAGAGGCACGTACAAACTTAGTCATTAGTAAGTTTTTCGACTTCTGGGTAAGCGAGCATGGTATGCCGCTGTCCATAGTTAGTGATAGGGACAGGCGGTTTACTAGTCAGAATTGGCAGGATCTTATGAAAGCCTATGGGTCTACGTTGTTGATGTTGTCAAGACAACACCCAGAGACTAATGGTCAGACAGAGCAGATGAATAAGATCTTGCAACAACTACTTAGAATATGTATTAGACCACATTAGATAAACTAGGATGAGATGCTTCCGAAAGTAGCAAGTGCCTACAATAACAGTGTTCATCTAGCTACCTGCAGGACTCCTAATGAGCTACATAAGTCCTTTAGACCAAGGCGACCGTTTGAGGGGCTAAACCGGGACCGGATGCACAGACTACCACCCGACACACGAGAGTTTCCGTTACAGCATGAGCAGGAAGTTGCTAAGGTCATAGACAATCTGAGAAAGGCCCAGCATCGGATGATAGAGCAAGCTAACAAACACCGCCGACCTTCACAGTTTCAGGTAGGCGATCTAGTCTGGGTCAAGTCAAAGGAGTTCGCACCAGAGGAAAACATCTTGCAGAAGCTCTTACCTGCGTATAGAGGACCGTGGCCTGTCCTAGAAGTCAAAGGAGGAGAGGACGGCCCGTCATATACTATAGAGATTCCAGCACACCGCCACACATACCCAGTCTTCCATGCATCTAAGTTGTTACCCTGCACCACATCTGACAGATTCCCTTCTAGGAGATCGATGATTCCGCCAGACATGGATGGTGCATATGATATAGATCACATAGTGGAAGAGGACGTGTTCAGGACAGGAGGTCGAGGTCGTCCCCAGAAACAGTATAAGGTTAGGTTCGCATACCAGGAACCTGAGGACGACCGATAGTTTACAAGAACAAAGCTTCTAGAAACCGCTTCCAACATAGTACACGCCTCTGAGAGGGAAAGAAAGGGCAAAGGTCCGAGCTTGAGTTAGAGGTGTTCTCGGAGGACCTCGAATTTAGGACGGCGGGAGTGAAATGGTTTCACTCAGTTGACCCGACTTTGCAGACACAGAGATTCGATCCCCAGACCTGTGTCCTAACCCTGTACGTTGTTGAACCTGTGTGCTGAGTGAGATTCGATCCCTAGACCTGTCCTATACCTGTACATAGACCCAGTGACGTGAGTAGGATTCGATCCCTAGACCTGCCCTACGTCCTAGGCTAGTCTGTAGGTCGGACGGTAGGACTTGATCCCTAGGTCTGTAGATTAGGAGTTAGGTCTGTTACCATTAGGCTTAGGAAGGCCTGTTCTAGAAATCTCTATCTGAGTCTACTGAGGCCTAGAGTCTGTCTGTAAGTCTGTAGGCTCTAGAAGGTCGTAGGTCCCTGTAGGCCAGTCCAGTCAGCAAGTACGAGGGGTAGGGGCTGCACGTGAGGAAGGTTCTGGAGCACACTCTGGGTTTCACACGTCTTGGCCCAGAAGGCCAAACGTCTGGAAACTTCCTTGGGCCACATGTTTTGGCCCAGGCCCACACGTTTTGAGGCAGGCCCGGGTACCTCCAAAGAAGTATAAATAAATAGGCAGCGTCCAGCCATTCATTCATTCACCTGTGAGCCATGCGGAAGAGCTGCCTTGGTATCCTGTGCGTGGAGGTCTGCAGGTGCCCGGAGTGGAAGTGGGCTGTGAAGAAGACAGCGGCAATAACGAACCAGCGAGGGAGACACCGGCGGCCATAGCTAGAAGGAGGAAGACGACAGCGGCCATAGCCGCCCAGCTGTTGGTGTAGACAGAGTGTGAGTGGCTGTGCAGCGTGGACATTCAGGGTGATCCTCATACGTGTGTGCATGCGAGAGTGTGGGAAGTGAGGCTGGTGGTAGAGATGGTGTTCGGCGGCCATAGCCGCAAGTTGTACAGCTGGTTCAGATTGAGTTTAATAGAAGTTTATTGTTGTTTCTGAGTTGGAAGAGTTTGATTTTGCCATCGGTTCTCAAGTGTGCATGTTGAAAGCAAGTTCAGAGTCGAGTCTGATTGCAGGAGCATCAGTTCGGCTCCTATTCCTCTGGCATGTAAGGGGCGGGGCTTCCTTCTAGGGCGAAACAAACCTACAAAACAAACGTGTGAAACAAACGTGCGAAACAAACATACGGAACCAACCACCAAGGGAAAACCTGCAAAAGCAAGGTTGCCAGCATGGAAGATGTTTGGCAATCTTTTTATCTAAAGTTTCCATCAAGTTTTATCGCTAGCAGCACTTTGGTGTTGCAGCTTCCCTTGAGGCATAGCAGAGAGTGTGTGGCAGCCCACTCCTGTTTCCAATAGGCAATTTAGCAGGGAAGGTCGACCACAGATTTCAGAGATCAGTGGGTGTGCCTGTCACACAGAAGAAGAGATGGTAGGTTGCTGAGAATGCTCAAAATCGAAAGTAATGGAAGACAGTTAGCAAGCCTTCAAGCATTGTATCAGAAGATGACATGATCCTGTTGCACTAAGTGAAGAAGAATACAAATTGTTAGAAAATCAATAGATAATAGATATTAGATTATAGAATCTCGGTTGCGTGATTTATGCAAATTTATGGTGGATAGCGTTATTGAGGCACTGCTACATAGGATTTCTTTTGTTTTCCTTTTTTTTTTATTTTAATGTGGACCTTTTCTTGATTTATGCGTGGCTCAGGGGCCATGCTAATCTTCTCTGTATCGTTACAACTTTAACGGATGACCGGAAGGACTCCTGTATGGATTTCTAATCTGAGTTCTGTGATTGCAGATCTTGGCCTATGAGGAGATAAGTCTCCCAACCAATATTGAGCTCCTGAAGGACCTCCTGTCAGAATTTCATGTTGAAGATGGAGATAAGCTCCTGGGATCTGTGGATATTCTCCCCAGACCTCGGACAGGAAGTCTGGAGCACAACTTCCTGGAAATGTATTGGTTTCTTGATAACTTTGTAGAAGCAGGTCGGTCAACCTTCATGCTGTCTCGTCCGGTTCCCTGTAGTCACACTCCTATGACTCTATTGCCCCTCGTTCCTGTTGCATATGTCTCTCTCTTAGTCTCTATTCCTCTTTGTCTCTCCCTCCATCCTTCCCTCCCCTACTACTTCCCTTCCGCGCCCCTCCCTTCCCACCTCTCCCTCTTTCCTTGTCCATCTTGCTGTCGTTGCCACTGTTTTTGCTTGAATGTGAACCCATCCCTCTCTTCTTCCCCCCCTCCCCTCCTCTCTCTCTCTCTCTCTCTCTCTCTCTCTTCTCTGCACTGCGCGCCTCCACTCCTGTCTCTTATACACATCTAGATGTGTATAAG